ATTTTTGATGTGGGATGGTGCAGTCGTCAACCACATGCGACTATAATCAGCTGTTCTAAACTTCCTCATTAGAAGTCACGTAAAAAGCGGTGTTTTTTGAGAAGCTGTTGATCATGTAATTACCATAGTCTTTCGTCTTTTTTTAAGTGTTACTGAAGCGTTTGGCCTAGTAGATTGTATATCAGTATACCTTTCCAGGCTCTGAAGAAGGCGATACTGCCGAAACGTCAGCTAGCGTTGTATTGTATTGTGTTTTTTATGGAAGTAAATGTATGCTGTTTAAAAACCTCGCAATTGCTGAACAAGAAAACGACACATTCATATTCCGATGCCGAGGTTAAGAGAAAGTCGATCCTGGGATCTGTGGATTCTCAAATAGTAATGAGCGAAGATCGCTACAAGCTGATGCATGTTTTTCCAAATTTGAAACACTGGCATTTTTCCGAGCACGCTGGGACAACCCCAAATCCATGACGCTAAACCACGACCGTTACTAGTCATTGCGACACCAATGGAAAGGAGGATCAGTGAACACAAAATTTGACATCTCAAGGCCGGAATCAGATGAAAGCCAAGGAAGCCAAATTACCTGTTCCATGACGCGAACATTAAAGTACGTCCATCTCAATGGTAAGGGCCTGTGTAGCGCGGTGGTCGGAAGCGCCTGCAATACAGACGGGATCCATCCGCGCGCCCATAGCCCACCAAGCCTTCCATCAGATTACGTGGTGCCTCAATGATTTTTATTAACAGCGAGTCATTACGAGCTTCTGTCCGGAGGTGTCGGATCGATTCGACTCTGTAAATTATTTGTCCGTAAAAATTTAGTTCTGGTAGAGAACGAAACGAACAGATATGTAGGAGAAAATGGCATGTCGTAGGAGATTACAATTACCGATGATGTGAAAAATAACCATTTCGTTCCTACAAATGGGAACAGTTGAACTTTCAAGTTATCAGACTGTCAGAGTTTCAATATGGTTTATGCCTGCCATCCTCCAGGATCACATTCAAGCTGTTGATTCGTCTCATCTTCACAGACAATACGAACTGTGATGGAAGGAACAAGTTGTTGAAGTTAGATCAGCTATAATAGAAGCAAGCTGCAAACAGGTATTGCCAGGAAGTCTGAAAGCTTAGTACGAGTGGGATGGATTCCTGCCACGGCAACGCATCCTAAATTAAAAGCACAGATGTAGGATTAAAGGGTTCAAATTGTGCACAAAAAACCCGCAAAGCATCATAGTATATGGCAAGGGCACAAGAAAAGCCGGATATGTAGGTGAAACAAGTCATGAAACTAAAATGTTTCTAAGTCTAGTGCCCATCGCAATCATCTGCACTAGCTGAGCTATAAAATGAATACAAAAGTTGGATAAAAAAATCTGATATGGTAAAATAAACAGCCGTAAAGAGAGTGAGTGGATACCTACTCACGCCGACCTAACTGCAACCCACGTATTAGTGAAGACCCACATTCACTTCGGCCTCTAAGCGTTAATATATGTTAACGCGTTCAACTATTCAGGCGTATAACATTCCCTGTGCCCAAGGCATTCGTTAAAAGATTAGGAAAAAGAAACTGAACCATTTTTACGCTTGTTTCCTAGTCTTACCCCAAATGCTACTGCTTGGTGATTGCTGATGGCAGCGTTTGGTAGAAAAATGGCTGAGAGAAAGGCGAAGCAAGTGCCTCAGTGGTGCACTCTGCCCCGTACTAGTGCATACTCAAGCCCCGGAAAGGGTAATCGTAGTTCGGTCTGGCCCGCTATCGAAGTTTTGCGAATATCTCAGCTTCATTATGGCCAAATGCTATACGTAGAACGAAACTATCCCGCAATCACTAGAGCACCAACGAAATCGCGGATACCAAGATCTCCTGGCTCGATATCGCGCTCCAGTCGAGACGCACGTGAGGGCGCGGCGATGCTTTTCGCCGTTCGTCGGCGCACTTGAGTCAGGTCGGTCCGATGGTGTGCGTTCCATGCATCTTCCTACCGGTACTGCTCGCTATCTATCTGTATTTCATTCAGCCGCTCGTAATCAAGTTAGTTTCATAGTGTTAAAATTATGTCCTCCTAACGGTTTGCCGCCTCATCGTGGCTGAGAGCTGTTTCTGGGTGTCGGGTTGCGATGTACAGCGGGGAGTTTCATTCACCCAGCAGGGTCTCTCAGGCTGAGGAGTCTGGCATTTCCATCAGGAAACCCAGCTAAGAGTTAACCAGTACCAGGATCCACCACCGTGCTGGTATCAAGCTAGTCGCGTGGTGACAAACCTCCCTCTGATCCACAATGGCGGCGACTTCATGTGGTCGTGACGACTTGGGGCAGACTTTGGCTAGGCTGACGTCGAGACACTAGTGAACCACAATGGCTAAGCCAGCAAAACTCCGAAAAAATGGAATTTATGCTGGGGTCCTCACAACCAGCCAGTGAATACGGGCAATCGGAGTATCCAAGTAATTATTCCCTTATGGTGAAGTCGTTAGTGGTTCTCGTTCATTCTTTGCATTATGGTAATTTACAAGTTATGGATAGTAAATGAAAAGCTAGAAAAGCACATGCGACAGGGACGAGATGCTTTGGAGAGCGGTAGCCCGAAAATCAGCTGACACGGTGGTTAACGAGGTGACACAACTCTTTGGTGTTTACTGTTGCTCTTACTTTGTTTTCACCATACATTTTTGCTAGTTGTTCTTAGTATTCGCATTGACCTTCGAGAACGTTGGGTCCTAATTTCAGTCGTGATACCATTCTAAATAGGAACTAACCAGTCTTGTTCCCAACAGCTCGCCCCAATATGATCAATTCTTGTAGTTGTGTATAGTTCTTGATTTCCTCATCTTCCCAGTGAATCAGTCAGTATCCACTTCTATGATTTTTTGTTAGTTAAAGGAATTTGTTTTTTCTTCTGCTGTTATGAGGTAGCAGTAATAGTACGTCCTCTTGTCATCTCTACAGCAAAGTGAATTGGGAGCAAGTTGTTCTTCCTTAGTAGTTGGTTTGTTTCGGGATGGGCACTTTTTCCTTTATAGGTTTCTTTCCTACTTATTGCTGACATTTACTTGTCAAAGTTCAACCTTCTTCAGCAACTGAATCGAGAGCACCCCTGTTCATCACCGTTCGACACCCAGAAAATGTCTTCCACGATGAGGTTGTAATCCAATGATGGGAGTTATCTCATAGGATGAAGTAACATGAAAATCCTCTATTTATGATGCTTCAGTGTTTTTCATGCTTCATCATTTCGGTCAATCAGGTCTAGGTTCTTCTGATTCTTTTAATACTTTGCTGCGTTAGCTATTAAACTCTGTTTAAAAAGCTACTATGTGTGGTTACCGATGTTAAGTATACACTTATCGTTGGTAGGATTATGTCATTCTGTTCTGTGCTTTCAGGTTTCTTCCTGAACGATGGGTTACATTCTTGGATCCCATTTTGTATCCAACTTGTCCGGCTAAACCTGCTGTTGTGAATGTAAATGAATCTTATTCTTCTGGTGAGTCACTTTCTCAGGCATTTTCTGTTTCTATTAAGGTACATACAAGTTTATCGTGGCAATGCTAACTTTTTATTTACTGCCTATTACAATTTTCCACGCCAGGGTATTGTGTATGATACCACAATGATGGTGAGATATTTGCAAAACTCCGGACTACAGGTAGCTGCGGTGGGGAACGAGCGCACTGTTACCCTTTCTGCGGGATAACGCGTTCACTACCTCACCATACGGACCCTTCGTTTCGCCTTCTCTTAGCCATGTTTTTTAGGTGCTATCAGCAATCATTCGTCAAAGTGATTGGAAAGAAAGACTGTTTAGCAGCTTCGGCTTAATTCATTTGCCTGGTTTTGCTGGGTTCATTGCCGATTTGGGGTACCCAGATTAGTTCCGTTGACGGGTGATTGCTGATGGCAAATAGATAGAATTAGCTGTGAGACAGGCGAAACGGAAAACGAACATGGTGTGGTGGTGAACGTGTTAGCCCCCGGTAAGGGTAATAGCGCGTTCGTTCCGCACCGCAGACACCTGTGTTCTGGAGTTTTGTAATTATCTCAGCATCATTATCGTTTTATGGTGACATTTAAAATTCAGTTTCACACAGTTAGTTCCTAGAAACTTTTCTGGGGAGGGATTTTCTGCACCTTGCGATTTAAGACTCGCCTCCAGTTCTTCGCAGTGGAATGGAACCCAGCAAGGACGATAAGAAAGAAAACTGAGTTTCCTTGTCAACTTACGGTGGCCTGTGTGTTCTAAACAGTGCGTACCCGTAACGGAATCTATCTGTATCTATCTGTCCCGTATCTGTGGAACTTTTTTTCGATAATTCCAATAGTTTTTGTCAGGCGATTTGACTGTGATGATGTATGGTTTTAAATTATGATCTTATAAAGATTTATCTTTATGCTTGACCTGTAATATATTTAATTCACAAAAGTGGATATTGGTGTAACAATTTTCTTCTCCGTTTCATTCAGTTCATAAATCAAATGCCGAACAGTGACTGAATAAAACCACGCCTTTTGATTACCGTATCTGATGAAGTAGTAACTGAAGTAGGTATTATGAAGAATCCTATTTGTTATTATTCAGAAACCGAAAATGTATATTTGAAAGTTGATATTAGAAGAGTTCTGAGAAAAGGAACGCACCCATCATGTGGCACCGTCCATCGCCAAGTGTCAATCTGTGGCAGGGCAGGACGTTCGCAGCCCGCGTAGATCTCACGCCAAGCACTCGGATCATGCTGAACTCCATTTTTTAAAATAGCTCACGGTCTTAAGTGCAATTATCACTGTATATTGTTCCAGCTCCCACTTATTGGTGTAGACCTAACAGAAGGTTGTAATTTTTCAGTGCTTTAGATCTTACACAAACGGTAACTGATTCTCCCAATTTTGCGTGGCGGGTGTTTTCGACGCGTAGTTTTTTATCCCAGACTGTGAACTGGAATCAGTTAAAGTTAGGAAATATACATCTTTACTTTAGACCTCAGATTAGTTGTGTATACTATTGTACAACAGTTTACATTGCTTATTCAAGAAATTAGCGGAAAATGCAATATTGATCTGTACTATCAGATGTCGAGAGTAGCTTATCTTTGCTGAGGTGCGCTAAAACATATCTTTTGGGTAAGCCATACATTGAGTATAGAATGTACAGGAAGAGAACCTTTATGCGTCAAAACAAACGACATGAAAGAAAGTGGACCGCTATCGAACAACGGCTAGGTGTGTTCTTCACGTATGAGTATTTGGATACTTAAATGGCTCGTCTTCTCTGATTGTGCGGACCCCAGCATAATCTCTATCTTTTCGGAGTTTTGCTGGTCCAGCCACTGTGGTTCCCTGGTGTACTGAAGTCAGCCTGGTCAAAGTCTGCCCCAGGTCGGCACCACTCCAGGCAGTCACCGCCCTCGTGGATCAGAGGGAGATTTGCCACCATGCGACTGGTCTAATACCAGCACGGTGGTGAATCTTGGTACTGGTTTACTCTTAGCTGGGCATCCTGATGGAAACGCCGGACTCCTTCTCAGCCCAGGAGACCCTCCTGAGGGTGAATCCTCCCGCTGTACATCACAACCCGACACCCAGGAACACCTCCCAGCCACAGTAAACCGTTGGGAGGCCTCGATGTATAGATGGAAACTAACTTAGGTTTGACTCTTAGTGGTAATATTGGCTTTTTGCAAGATATATATATACATATATATATATATATATATATATATAATATCTGGTAATGGATTGTGAAAGTCATACAGTGTCATCCACTGTGTGGTAAAAGAACAGTGTAAATTCTTGATCGTGCTGCATGTAGAATTCAAGCCGGCTTCCAGCTGTCCATCGGAACTTTTGAGTAGTGAAGGAGCCTAGAAAGGATCAACATAGGGGTGAACAGTTTGTAGTGACTGTTGAGTTCTTAGCATGGTTATCGTCTCATTGCTACTGTGTTCTACAATCCAACATTTCATTTAATAACTCGAAAGACCGACTTTCTATAAACCTCGGCATAGATAGTTGATATATTTATTTATGTGATCTTATAAACTGATCTTCTTAAACTGACGCCAGTTTGGTACAGATCTTCGTTGTCGTTGCTTTCGATGTTATTGATCGATGGCTGACGTTTCGGCGACTTCGCCTTCCTCAGAGCCTGGACGTATTTAATTTAGAATGTTTTTATTATTCGGTGGAAAAGAAAGGTTAAAGTGTTAATGAGGATCAAACTTTCAAATAGACGCCATACTGAACAGAAAGGTCACTCACCGTGATGTTACGTGCGGGACTGGCCACACGTAGTTCACGTGGAGTCGCGAGCAAGACATGCCCCGGAGTCAAAATATCATTTTGAAATAGGGCGCCAGGTCACGCGTGATAGTGAGGCATTCGTCCTTCCGGTTCATCTTTGGATTTTCCAAAGAAAAAGAAAAAAAGTTTTTCCAAAGAAAATCCAAAGATGAACCGGAAGGACGAATGCCTCACTGTCACGCGTGACCTGGCGCCCTATTTCAAAATGATACTTTGACCCCGGGGCATGTCTTGCTCGCGACTCCACGTGAACTACGTGTGGGCCAGTCCCGCACGGAACATCAGGGTGAGTGGCCTCTCTGTTCAATATGGCGTTTATTTGAAAGTTTGATCTTCATTAATACTTTAACCTTCTTTTCCACCGAATAATAAAAAGTATTCTAACATAAAGTACGTCTAGGCTCTGAGGAAGGCGAAGTCGCCGAAACGTCAGACATCGATCAATAACATCAAAAACAACGACAGCGACAACGAAGATCTGTACCAAACTGGCGTCAGTTTAAGAAGATCGGTTTATAAGATCACATAAATAAATATATTAACGTTTTATTGTTGTGTCCTACAATTTCTTAAACCTACCAGCTGGAATTGTAAGCTGTTCCAACGGCACATCTAGTGGTACAGATTTAGGATATGGATGAAGAGGTGGCTGAAATTGCTTAGGTGTTGAGGGGATCTTTCCTTTCATAAAGATATCATTTTATATAACTATCGTGCAAGTTTGATCGTAGTTTAAAAATTTACGCTGCTGGTATGAGAACTTACCCGGATCGGTGAGTAGACTTTGCTTTCACCCAACGACGTTATATCGGCAGTTCCACCGAGCTCTAACGGCAAACAGCACTCATCAATGTGCTGTAGCAGCGTCGCTTTCACATCTCCACTGGATATGACAATCTTTTTCTGGAATAGTTACAAAGTGGTTGTCTTTCAACATATATAGGACCATTTTCAAGCTTGAGAATGGGCCACGCCACTCTATCACCGATTGAGACATCTGTTATCTTCACTTATGAACATACGTGGATTCTAGCATTTTTCGAATTCGCATCTATCATACACTTCAAACTTTTCATGTGTGGGCTTGGCTGCTGCTTGAGGTATTTTGTTCTCGTTATTGGATCTCTGAATACTGGCGAGGTTGACTCTCCTTGGTGTCCTGAGATGGCCGTGATAGGGTATTTCCATGTAAATCAAGAAATGAGTTGATCCTAAATAAGTTTGATGCCAATTTCCCGCTCTCAGAGAGACAGTAGGCTTGGTGGTTTCGGCGGGTGGTTGGACCAGCGCCTCGCTCGTAAAAACGGCGTTCTGCTACTGGGCCACCTTTCTCATTATATACCAAAATCAATAATAATAAAGAAAAGAAAGGTACTGTTTACTTTTGCTTACCTGTAGTTTGATTTCGCTTATAATTGCAACTTCCGTAATTTGTCTATTTAAGTGGACTAGATTTTGAACAGAACTCCTTTAGTAGGTATCTTTGGCAATGAATGAAATTTTTTTTCCATAGCTGGAGGAAATGCCTCCCAACGGTTCATGGCCTCATCGTGGCTGGGAGATGTTCCTGGGTGTCCGGCTGCGGTCTACAGCGGTGGGTTAATCCTCCAGGCAGGGTCTCCCAACCTGAAAAGGAGTCCAGCGTTTCCGTCAGGAAGCTCAGCTAAGAGTAAACCAATACCAGGATCCACTACCGTCCTGATATCAAAGTCGCTTGGTGGAAAATCTCCCTCTCGTCCACAAGGGCTGCGACTGTCTGTGGTGATGAAGGCCTGGAGCAGACTTTGGCCAAGCTGACCTCGGGATTCCAGGGAACCACAATGGCTTGACCTGCAAATCTCGGAAAAATAGAGATTATGCTGGGCCAGCACAACCTGGTGAGGACTGGTCATTCGGTTGTCAAGTATCAAGAAATTAGAGGACCTGATGGGTTGTTGTAAACGTGACTGAAGTGTAGAAGAGACCTTGCTCTATCTTTCTCTTGGCGCGTATGGTACGCATGCTACAGTTTGCTATGTGCTACTGTGATCCATCATGCTAACATCAGCATTTGGATGGACCTAGCAGCATATATTGAGCCTACATTGGTATTTTTTATACCCACACATTCCATACCGTAGCTCTGGTTCACCACAACGATTAAAATGAAATAGTAGATAGTAACAAGTCAAATTCGCGGGCAGTGAACGTGTCCACTGGCGCCACCATCTTTGCTCGTATTCGGCCAAACTGTTAATGTGTTGAGGAGAACCATCTCACTGATTGACAGCTGTAAAGTGATGAAGGTGTGTTCTACTCGATCTGTAGGAGCAAGTTCCTTTCCTGACGAGGTCACCAAGACTGAGAAAAGATCGCCTTTTCTATTTAGAAAATCGGCCAAGAGTAAAAAAAAATCCGTGCCAGATGTGCCATCGTCTTGGGACGAACCTCGTCACAAGACAGAAAATCTTGCTCCGACCAGTAATGGCAGGTCTCCGCCTACACTGAGGCCTAAAAACGCTGTAGCATGAGTAGTTTGGCAATTGGGGAACAAAGAAACTTCGAAGTTAAAACACCAGTCACATGGATATTGTGTTGGTGCCTGCATACTTCTTTTAACATAGCATCCAGGTATGAAAGTAAAAACCAAAGTCCATTCATTCGCTCACCTTGTAATCCTGTGGAATAAATGGTATACATGTCTGATAGAGGAGATTAACGAATTTTGGTGCGTTGATGACGATAATCTGCTGAATGAGTTGTGGATATTGCTCGAACAATGTTCCCCAGAGTATACGATACGGCCCTGAGTATGGTAATTGACGTTCGGGTTACAGGGTACTAATGGAATGACAAACACTTTATCACGACTTATTTCTACCCCGAGTATTGGTAAAATGACATATGAGGAATGCCTAGTATGAAGGAAAGGTAGACGTAATGGAGTGGTTCCCCATTAGAAGAACTTCAACGAACGTAAAGATTGAAGGAGGTGCTTAATAAGACGCGTGGTACGAAGGGATTGCTTTCCAACTTTAAACGGAAGCCTCTAACCAACAAAGAACGAATTCCACATGGCGTTCAATATTTTACTACGGCAAATTTTATTTACCCTGCCACGTAGTTGGGTAGAATAGCAGGATAGTTATCAAGTAGCACGCAGCGTGTCGCTCAGATACAACTAAATGATTAGCTATGCTCATCATTTGCACGATTTTTGCGACTGAATGGATGTCTTTACATGAGAATCAGCCTCGTATCATGGACGGCTATTGAGAGGGGAAGGGATCGAACAGAGATTCTGCCACTATTTGTAGAACTCATAATAACGGATTATTTTGTTTAAGTAAGGAGATACCTCTTCATTTCTATTTATTTTTACTTACCTGGATTAATCGGTAATGCTACTTCACTAGAATCAGCCACATCACGTCGTTATGGTCGCCCCACAATAGCTTACCTTGTTTGTAAGCTCTGCTACCATACTCGGATGGAATACATCCTTCCTTGTGATATCAGTAAGGTGTAGCTCATTAGATTTCGAGTTCTTCTTCCTTTAGCTTGGGCTTATTCAAAAGCAACAGAGATTTCTGCTAGTGGCTTACTTTAATGGAGCTTAAACACGGAGATCTTGAGCTCCTTCTCAACCATTGTTACCATACTGGATAGGTGAACCTTCTACAAACAGAAATTTGAAGTTCAAGACAGTTTCGCGCTACGATGACGTTCATGCTTACATATGAGTAAATACGTTAAGGTTTGAGAGATATCTCGAATAAATTTTCCATAAGCATATTTGGCCCAGACGGTAGTCAATGTAAGGAGAGTGCAAGTTTTGGAAATACCTTTAAAATATTATGTGTAGACATATACATCTATTTTACATAGGTATGTCTTAGATTGAATTTTTAATCCTACCAGCTAATACTGATAGGAGTGTGGTGCTCATCACGAGCCCATCAAGGTCCATTATTAGTATGCCGCCACTTTGCTTGTCTAGACGGCGTTCTTCTTGCTCGACTCGTTGCTGCAAGCGTTCCATCGTTCGGAATTTCAAGCGTAAGAATCGAGTAATCTGAAAGAATCATTAGATCCAGGAAAGTTGAATCTTAAAGAAGCGATTCGAAAACTCCACTGTCCTCTGTAGTTCATAGCTTGCTTAGCATCTCTATATTGAGGGAGTACTATGCAAAATTCACATGTTTTTTTTTGCTTTTGCAAGTTATAGGGAATGGAGTGAATAATTAAACACAAAAGCAATAACGAAGTTATGGGGAATGGAGTGAATAATTAAACACAAAAGCAATAACGAAGTTATGGGGAATGGAGTGAATAATTAAACACAAAAGCAATAACGGTTCCAGTTTTTTTTTAGTGCAGCAACGGTCCCAGACGTCTGAAGAAACTACGTATGTTTTCGCTTCACAGTAGTTCATGTATAGAAAAATGATTCAAGGCATGGATGTACTTAGCAGGACGGTTCTGAAAACTCTGGTCCTTTTAGCACAGCGATCAACGCGATTTGAGTTCTGTGCATTTGTTACAGAATTAATGCCCGCCTTCAACTTTAAGCCAAAATAGGTTAGCTCATATTGAACTGTATTAATTGGAGAAACCTTAAAATTTGCATATCTTCGCTGTAAAGGTGACTTTCTAGAATTTAAGAAGCATATTTCTCCCACTTTTCTTTTTTCCAAGATCGAACATTATTTCGACCACTGGTGTGAATGAGCAGTAGGCATTTCACAGAACATAACATGCTGTCAACAACACAACGTTGATGTTTGCAACTGCCACGCTTGCGTTGGAAGGCTTTTGGAATTAAAATTTCGTTGTCGGTCTTCTTCTGAAAATTTCAATTCCAAGCATATTTACTTTACATGACCCATCATCACATCTACTGTGCGGATCACAGCTCTTCTTGTTTTCGATCCGCTTTCCACGAATTCACCCTTCACAATGGTCTTTAGATACTACGCGTGTAGTTTCAACTTCTGCTTGAGGATTTCGTCTTCTTTATGAATGTCTTAGAGTCATCGTCGAATCGATATCCTTGCAGTCTTGGAGTAAGGCGTTCCAAGTGAATTTGAGAAAACAGTTGGAGAGGTGGTAGAATTAACGCCTCTGCTTTCTAATCGACAACATCACTAACCACCTGATCACCTCTCCTCCAAGCATCTTTGAACTTGGGAAAGCATTGTATGGCAGTATGCGCGATGACGGGAAGTGGGTGCATTGGTATTGCTGCCGTTTATCACGGCATGGTGCTGGTTCGACTCCACCTCGGCCTCACCAATTCTTTCATTTCTATGTGATCAGGAAATTAGCACTAGACTTTTCTGGGAGCAGTTCACTCTCTTTAATCTAAGTGGCAACGCTGTAACCCGGCTATCAAAAGACTTCAGGAAGAATCAACCCAACCAACGTTAAACGACGTTCGTCACGAAGGCGAAAATCACACGAGAGAAGTTTGATGATTTCCATATAAGATGGACGTGAAGAAATGAATCGAATGCATAAAGTAATAAGATCCTTACAGTAGACGCGGGATAAAAAGGGTAAAGGATAAAGCTCTCAGCGTTGATCTGTCCCTGAAGGATGCGCCATATATTCGAATTCATTAAGCATCGTTTGGAGGCGATTGAATGCATATCTGGGCTTTACAATGAATCGCGGTGGCCTACCGATGTATTGAGCAAGTGCTGCTATCCTCCCAGACAAGTCAGGTACCAATTTGCCGACTCCGGAGAGATAGAAGGCTAGGTGGGCCATGGGCGTGGGGATCGATTCCACGTGTGTGTTGCAAGAGGCCTCCGACCAGTGCCCAACACGCGCCATCACGGTAGATGTTGGTAAGGTCTTGTAAAATGAAAAAAGTTTGCATTTTGGGCGTTATGAGGTAATATTCACTAGCCGTATTTCATGTGATGTACGCGTTATGTGTCTTATAGGTTTGGCAGTGTTTGCGTGAAGTACAGTCGCTTATCTAAAAATTTCGGAATGGATCCAGTTAGATTGACTAATTCTGCAACTTCGGGAGGATTACTGATTAATCGCAAGAGTTCGTTTACTGCTTTGACCAAGGACTTTGAGAGTTGATTAAGAGGAGTTTTTGTTACTAAGATCTCGGACAACCAAGTTCTTGCGAAATGTATAATGATTATAAACAACTTTCATAAACATTCCACAACTTTTATGCTAACAAAATAGCGTAGATAGAACACTGATTTGCGACAAAAAATTCGTATGAAAAACGCTTTCAAAACCATATACCGCTATAGCCTACTTCTTTCGAGATGGATGCAGAACTGCATCCTCTGCAATCCATGTGAAATGTCCAATATGTATGCTGAGTGTACCTTACAAACTCCTGGCGAAATATATCAAGGACTATGGATGAAGCGAGACTAGTCCACCAAGCGGGGTCCCTATAGAGGTTTTTCTGAAAGAGCCACATGCACAGCGTATACCGAGGGACTTAAGTGGGTCGGGAGCACCACATTCCTCATCTCCGACTATAAAAAGGTGTTTGACAACGCCGAAACGAATGCGATACTATCAGTGCTCGTTGACTAACGAGTGCACCGGCCTTACATCGTACTCTAAGTGGCCATTATTGTAAGTGAACCGTAGCAATATAGCTTTTCCATCTACCTCTTAACATCCCCATAAAAAAAGAGCCTGAAGAGATAGCAAGGATAATGAAATCACGAAGGATTTACGCAATGATAGAAAACTATTGTGAAGTCATCATTTTGCTGGCATTTTCCTGAGGAAACTAATTAAATAAGAAGCGACGATCAAACATCTTAGCAAAGCGGGAAGCAGGATAGGGCGGCACATTAATCGGAAGAAAATCTACTTCATGAAAGACCCATGGTGCGAAGGTGAACTAATAGGAATGGGTAGTTTTCTGATTACGGAGGACAAGAGCACATGAAGTAGGAATTATGCAAAAGAAAGAAGAACAGCATGGGTTACGTTTTGTTTTATCGCATAGGTTACTCTACCACAAAAGAGAAACGAGCGTTGATAGTTCTATGTCGTTCAACATTCTTTCCATCAAGAAAGCACATAAATGATGTGTGGTATGTAAGTGGCGCACAAAACGTCTAAGCGTATTCTCAAAAAGCTGACCTATTTTCGAGATCCAAGAGATCGGGCAATGCTAAGGAACCATAGTTGAGTCAATGGTACAATGGGAAGAGCGCACTACGGATAGGCGAAAAGAACTATGGAGTGAGCATCAGCAGAATACAAGGACAATCTAAGACGAAAATAAACAAAATCGCGCTTGTGCCTTACTAACAAGTCGAATTCACAACTGGAAATAATTTATGGAATGTGACTCACGATCCACACCACGTTTAAAGCAGACCATCACAAACGCGACTATCGCGCAAGAATGATACGAAGTGGGATGTCCTTAATTTATAACTCTTTTTTAACGGTAGAATATTATGTGGAATAAAATCACAACGATGCTAAGATATTTGCAAAACTAGCACCTCAGGCCAGATTTGAACCTTCGGCTACCCTTTCCGGAAGCTCACGTGTTACCCACTGCACCACTGAGGTTCCTGCTTTATTTTTTTCTCAGCCAGTTTTTGACCGTAACAGTACCATCAGTAAGCGCAATGTTCTGCTTCCCATAGTGCTTGTGGTGTCAGGCACCCAAGTGTCCAAGTAAGCAAAACACATCAATATGGTAATGCAGACTTACTTAACTTATTGAAATATAAACGTCAAATATGGAACAATTTTTTCGGCCTACGGGGAATGAATATCAGGAAGTCATCACGCAGAACATTTCGCTTTCGCTTCAGTATCGACTTCTCAAAGTCTTCTTTCACATACATGAGAGTCTAGGATGATAGCCGGTATAGGAACCCAGAGCCGTTCAACTCACCTTTCACTAAATATGGAGGCTTTTGGTCAACGTAGCTAAAAACTTCCTCTGAACGCGAGTAGGAGTAACGATTTAGAACGGAAATCTCCACTTTTCTCATGAGTAGATGGTTCCGGTAGCAAGAGGTTATTTCGTTCTTGAATCTCACAGATGGTGTCAGGAATTCCGAAAGCACAAAGTTACAGAGAATTGTCTTTGTCTGACTGCCGTGCTTTTCACATACTAACGAGTGCCGGCGGGAATAGCGCATAGACGTAATAGAATGACCTAAGCTACTTTTTCTGTCATAAATACCTATTTCTTTTCCATGAAAGTTTTTGGTTGAGTAAAATGCATGTCATTTTGCCCTTTCCAGACTCTAAAGAAGGGGACATCCACTTCGTTGTTGACAACCTCCTGTTTGCTCGAGAATAAAATGCTGTGTTATTGAACAGCCCAGAGCTTAATAGAAAGTCGGCTTTGGGAATTGATACGTGATGCACCAGCAGAATATTTCCCACTGATAGAGGAAGTTCTGCTACTGAGACAGAAGATTATCTTATTTAGACAACCGACATGTTTTTTTGGCGCTACCTAGAACACCGAGTCGTCGCCCATTCTATTAAGCGAGGAAAACCACATGAAGCCAATATTGATTTGCAACTATACTAGGTCGAATGCTGAGGTAACTTAAGGCAAGAAATTCAAAAATCACCTAAACAAATTCCAGAAATCAGCTCCAATGAAACAAACAGCCACCGTTTACGAATGTTCTAGGAGTGAAAACAAGATCGAGAACCTGCCAGACAAGTCAAGGGTCACCATTTCATGAGTCATGATTCTAGCTGACACCGCGCCCTCGCTTAGACCACCAGATAGTGATAACGGTCGAGAGTTTGTAGTAGTTCATCGTCATTTAGACGCTGAGATAGCGAACAAACATCTTGAAGACGCTCACTAGAACACCCATCTTCTGAAAGGAACTCAAAAGTGAGCACTGAAAATTGAACCCGGAATGGATCAAGGTGACATGCGCTGCAAGTTAATAAACAATCACTTATTTTGCAACTTAAAACAGAATTACCAACGTGTTGCACCATAAACTACCAACGAGGATAAACCTATCATCAATTGTGTAGTGCACACTATGGATGGAATAGTTTGGTTTGTGAGACGAACACTTATATAATTGCTCAAACACATCCCAGATCCCAGCACATCTTATGAACACCCTAATGTTCCTGGATTGTCTACGTTACACGCGTCACAACCACGCGTACATGATGGAGCCCTTCGGCATTATCGTACTTCATACAAACGCGTCGAATGACTTCGCAATGCATGCCATCGAACTCCTTGTGCAACACGAAGGAGCAATAAACATGTGTGGCTTCTTGATTAAGCAGTTAATGGTCCTCTTAAGGTAGTGCCTAAACTGCTCAACACTCAGATGGCCTGGGAGGTATTACTCACAAATTAGAGGGTTGGCAATGGGACGACGACTTGCACCAGCCCTTGTCATTTTGTCACATTTATGTCTAAAGTGGGAGCACCAGTTCGATCACCATCAATTATTCTACTGCTAGATAATGGTTTTGTTATTTGCTCAACACAAGATAAAACTGATAAATGTTTTGAAATACCAAGTAATATTTAGAGTACATGAATTTCACCCAGGAGAAACCAAAGTAAAGCTGGTATTCATTTTTGAAACTTTACACTGACCTATCCCACTACGGCTATATCATAGAATGCTGCCCAAAACGAAGTAATAGAAAAGCACTGCTTCAATACCACCTGTCTAACCTATCTTGCACAAAATGGCGCTTGTAAGAAACATGTTTCGAACAGAAACTGGTGTGTGCACAGTAGGAGAGCAAAAGAAGGAATCCCTGAATGTGGTGTGGCAAAAAGCCATATCCAATGGCTACGAAGCCATAGCTCCTGGAATAAGTGTAGAGAAAAGATAGACCCCAAACGAGTTGTCTAGAGAGAATATGTTAAATCCGCCCTTTATCTCCAAGGAAGCACTACTGTAAAGTGGTGCTTTAAAAAGTCTGTCTACAGCATTCGGTAGCACTGATTGACATACCACCGAACACTCTAGGAAACCAGCTAGTTCGTAACCGCAGGTATGGTCATCTGTGCACAACAAAAATTAAATAATTTGCTCTAACGGTGGTGTTTGCATGAGTTCGGATACTGTGCACCTGATTTCTTGTAAAACACATCTGGACGAACACGTTGGCCAAACGGGTGTACAACTGAGTCCGTATGAAAGAGCACCTAGATAGAAAACTTTACTCAAAAAACTCAAGAAAGCGCTATACTAGAAACTCATAGTACACAAAGACATAATGGGAAAGATTTTAAATTAAAAATCACTGTCCTTGGACAGGAATCTAAGTCATCAGCGCTAAAATTCACTTGTGCCTTGTCATCACGCGTGATCTCGGCGCCTAACCTGAGCCTGTTTTTTGACCTTAGCAAGGTAAATTCCTCATACATGTGAAACTCTCTGTGGCTGCTCTCCAACAATAAGTGGACGACTTATAAAGAACAGAACTGTGAGTTCAATGATGCTGAGATATTTGCAAAACTCCGGGCTGCAGGTGTATGCGGTGGGGAGCGAACGCACTATTGTCCTTTCTAAGGAGTAACGCGTTCACCATCACACTACGCCGGCTCTTCGTTTCGCCTGTCTCCCAGTTGGTTCTATCGATTTTTGCCGTCAGCAATCACCGTCGGCGGGATTGATGTGGGGGCCCCCGAACCCAGTTAAACTGAGGCTGCAGTTATATATATTACAGTTATACTTTTATAGAAGGACCCGCAGGGTGTGATGGTGAACGCGTTACTTCCCGGAAAGGACAAAAGCGCGTTCGTTTCCCACCGCAGACACCTGGGGTCCGGAGTTTTGCAAATATCTCAGCATCATTGAAGTTATATTTCGTAATATACCCTGCCGTAAAAACTAGTAAACAGTAAATAATAACTCCCAAATCCGACTTTCTATTAACCCCGGCATTGATTGAATATATCTTTCTACTTCTGTTCAGCAAACACGAGGTGCTATTTTATTTCTTTATTTACGCACAAGCTGACGTTTCGGCGGATTTCGCCTTCCTCAGAGCCTGAAAGGGTCAAGTTGACAGCAATCCATTCGGCCAAACACCTCCATAACCAAACAGAGAAAACGCTAAACCAAGATTTCAATCACATTTAGCATAGCTCTGCACACTCACCGTTTTCTATGAGTCTTCCACTGAGTACGCCGCGTGAAGCCGACCGCACAGAATTCACATAGAAGCGTAATGTGCCCCTCCCATCAGAATAACAGGTTTATATACTGTCCAATATCACGCGTGAGAAAGATAATTCCAAGAATCCGAAAATGAACCGCAGGGAGGAATGCCTCGTTATCACGCGTGGTATTGGACAGTGTATAAACCTGTTATTCTGATGGGAGGGGCACATTACGCTTCCATGTGAATTGTGTGCGGTTGGTCTTCACGCGACATGCTCAGTAGAGACTCATAGAAAGCGGTGAGTGTGCAGAGCTGTGCTAAATGTGATTGAAATTTTAGTTTAGCGTTCTCCCTGTTTGGCTATGGAGGTGTTTGGCCGAATGGATTGCTGTCAACTTGACCCTTCCAGGCTTTGAGGAAGGCGAAATCCGCCGAAACGTCAGCTGGTGCGTAAATAAAGAAATAAAATAGCACCTCGTGTTTGCTGAACAGAAGTAGAAAGTAAATAATAATTTCGAAACCGACTTTCCTTGAACCTCGGTATCACTAATCAATATGTATTCTTTCTTTGATGAGCTTACACGAGGTTGATAATGATGTTTATTTTCGGCTAACGTTTCGACGTCTTCGTCTTCCTCAGAGCCGATGATCCGAGTCGATGGTCCTCGCTTGTTATTCGTCTCGACGTGGCAGCTTCGCCTTTGTGTCGAGTCACTGCCACGTCGAGACGAATAACAAGCGAGGGCCATCGACTCTGAGGAAGACGAAGATGTCGAAACGTTAGCCGAAAATAAACATCATTATCAACCTCGTGTAAGCTCATCAAAGAAAGAATACTGTAAATAATAAGTTAGAACTATGAATGTTTAAAGAGACTAGTGCGAATAAAATTTACGTGTTGACTTTTTTCTGGTTACGAAAGCATTGGCTGAGTATACTGCGTGTCGCTTTTCCTTTTCGAGCTCTGTAGAAAGCGAAATAGCGGAATCGTCAGCCAGTACTAGATAATTCTTATTGACAGCATCGTGTCTGCTAAGCAATAAAACACCGATTTATGTGTTTCTTTACTAAAAGGTATTGTGTCATTAAACTCTTAAATTCGACTGGTTCCAACTTTAATATAATTTTGTTTCAGAGTAGAATCCGCTAAACTACCTTGGAGGAGAAGTTCTCCATGATAGAGAAGTAGGCAAATCATGCTATAATGTAACTAACACACAGTCTCTGGTGGCTAATTTGATATGACTGGCTCACATCACTGCACCTAATTGTTCATCGCACCCACAATGAAATGAAATCGTTTCACACTGCATGTAGCAAAAGTTTTTGAGTTACTTTGTGGAACGAAATGCAGTCAAGCCTGCGAGACTTATGAGGGCGGCCTACCACAGAACATCTGATAACACGCCTCATGTGTTATACTCCTCTGTATAGATATCACCTGCAGCAGTCTTTGAGAGTTGGCGAAGATATTCGTCCAAAAAATAGTTTGTTTTATACTTTTAGGCTTAAACAATAATTTTCCCCGTCCTACGCTTAGTACGAGAGTCTGTTATGGAGGAGTTAACGAATAAGTGCAAGAAGTGCAGCAGAAAACCATTACGTGGTAAAATAAACAACCGGAAGAAGAGGAGTTGAGGTCAACTCACGGCAGTCCATTTGCACCATGTATAGGTGGACATTAACTCATATCAGGCAACTAGACGCTAAGCAGAGAGGCAAAAAAAATGTCACCGTACCAAGTCCGTGCTTTATTCTTGAGCAGATATGGCATTATTGCAGATAGAAAGCAGTAATAAGGATGGACTCATGGATTTTCTCTTCATTTTTTCCTCAATTTCATTTTCTATCTATAGTAACCAGTGGCAAGGACAAGTGAAAGTCACTCACTCTAATGTTGTCCACAACTCCGCTCAGATCGATTTTGCCGCTTTGTTCGTATAATAAAACCTGAAATCTTCTGGATGGTCAGCTGAAGAAAATCATTTATACCATGGCAGTCGCTATTTTACGAAAAATTCGTCTGATTGAAACAATTCTTATGTTTACTTTCTTCCAAAGCTAGGACACGATAAAGTGAACTGCTCTTATTACTCTGATTACAAATGTTAAGGCATGGAAAGCACATACGCTTGTTGCTTGAAAAAAATTGCATAATTTTACCAGATTTTTTGCTACTCGCGTAAGATAAATTTAACCCTGAAAAACCTGTCATGTTGTGTAGTGGAGACTAGTAAGATTTAGTAAAAGAATTGCATCCTGAGTTGATATGAACGAAGTGTGTGAAAGCCGATACTAGTGGGTTGTTCTTTCTCTTGTTGGGAGCTCTCGATGACTATTTAAAGATCGGCCGGCAGAAAACTAAATAATTTTCAGGTTCGCTGGGGTCGTATGACCCCCGGTAGGGAACTTTCTTCCTCCAGTTTTTTATCTAATTTCGTTCCCATCTTGCGAAATTTGCACGCTATAAAGAAGCCACTGATTCCGAAAACGGACCTTATTGTCAGTGATACGATTTCGTCCGAGGATTGTCAACGGAACGTATTGTTCTGCTTCCTCGTCAATATCCTCCCCTTTAACATTGGGAAGTGACGTTAATGACATAACTTCGCGTATGTTCAGATGTCGTTCCAAAGCCTTCAATGAATACTGTTTTTAGAAAAGCTACAATAATGTGAGGCATGGAAATCAAAAAGGTCTAAAAGTTTTAAAAAGTATGACCATATCATTCAGAATTACTTAGTTTACACAAGTCTTCAATTTTTATTACAAATAATTATGGTAGCAAACGTAGTTCCATTATATTTATACACATGAAATGTTGTAAACAATGATATCAGATATTCCTAATAAACTATTTTTCATAGCAATTTTAACTTATTGTCTACTGCCTACTCCTTTTTAACGGCAGACTATATTGCGAAATATTAACTTCCAATGATGCTGAGATCTTTGCAAAACTCCGGACCGCAGGTGTCTGCAGTGGGGGAACTAGAGCGCTATTGTCCTTTCCGGGGAGTAACGCGTTCACCACCACACCATGCGGGTCCTTCTATATAAAATATAACTGTAATATATATAACTGCAGCCTCAGCTTAACTGGGTTCATTGCTATTTTGGTGCCCCCAGATCAATCCCGTTGACGGGTGATTGCTGGCGGCAAAAGATCGATAGAACCAACTGGGAGATAGGCGAAACGAAGAGCCCGCGTGGTGTTATGGTGAACGCGTTACTACCCGGAAAGGACAATAGCGCGTTCGTCCCCCACAGCAGATACCTGCGGTCCGGAGTTTTGCAAACTTTTTGTATTAATATGATACGAAATAACATATTGTCCAGACTATTATATTTCTTCCACTCGGCTCGTTGTCTCTGATGTTTCATTCATGAAGGTCTTCGAATTTCGGCTACTGCTTGAAGATTTTGTCGTTAAATGTCGGTGAATGCTGGTCGAATTGATTCCGCTACTTGGAATTTTGAGATAGTTACAGTAGAGTGTTTCTAAGTCACAACCACATCTCGCTGGCCATTGTTCCACCGAAATTTTTACGAGTTATAACCAATGGTCGGTTATGTAGAGAAGTTCCAACGATAATTTAAATGAAAACAGCTTAGAGCAAAGTGAGCGAAAAGTAAGAGAAAAAGCAGGAAGGATTTCTAATAGTCTGAGCAAACTTTTCGGAGCGATTGGCGCAATGGTAGTGATACTGTTCAGTAGTAGTAAGGCGATAGTTCGATGCCACCGGGAACCACCAACGCTCTTATCCGTCTAGGCTCGGAAGTCGGTACGCTGACGTCCACCAATCTTTAAAAATTGGCAACAGTCTGCGATGAAGAACTGGGAACGAATATCCTTTGTGAGAGCATTTCAGTGGGAGTCGCTTCCATCAGTATTTGAAGACATTTGTTAAGAAGACCTTCAAGCAGCAGTTTAACCGACACGCAAGATCCGAAGACTATTGTAAATTTTGGATGCGAGGAAACCAATGGAATGCTGGAATTACTGGTATGTACGCAAAATTTAAAATGGAACCATGAAGAAAATGTATAAGTCCCTCTAGCGTTCACGAAACACAAACCAATTAGGTCAATTCGACAAGCAATTCTTGGTTTTATTTGACAATGGTTACATGAACTACGTGTGGCTCCAGTTTTTGTGTATTTTCGAAGCTTCCTGGGAGTGATGAATGTAAAACTGTTTGTAATGTAAGGCGATTGGGATCATTTTTAATTTCCAGCGAAATTCACCTTGGCTGCGTCTTCCTCATTCCTTTCATAGGCAATAAGCCACCGATAGACATTGTATTCGTGCTTGCAGTACTCGTGGCCTTGGCCATTAGCAGCAACTCGTACTCGCTCTACCGCTGCTTGTTCTTCAGGGTCTAAGGGCATTGTAGGGGAGAAACTGAAACTCGGTCACAATGTGCCGAATATTTAACATCGTGGAAGGGTTAGCTGTAGAAAACGAGTGGATAAACTTTGTAAAAGTTTGAGGTACCTGTAAAATTATTTCGAATAACAAGAATACAGAGGAACATGAGCAAACGGTCAAAAATGGAATATGGCTAGTCCTAACATATGGCATGCCAATTTTTCACTATGGCGAAGAAGAATAGGAGTTCGTCGTCATGGAAATTTGGATGCACTGTTAGACGCTTGGTCGATATAGGCGACGTTTTTCTTTATGGACTCATTAGCATATTTTAAGGTACATTGGCCAATTATAATCAAAATAAATGAACTTTCCCATGTGATTGCTTTGAAGGGTAAACTGCATATACCATATATCGTCATAAAACACAATACAATAAGTTCTGCATTATATTACACGTTATCCAATACATACTATTTTTCCAGTTAGCAACCCGAAGGCGAATAATTGTAATTGCCATCATCGCACTGAGCAACTGAAGAACAGTTAAGAGAGTATTCTCTTTGTCGCCGAGATTATTTTCCGTATTCACATATTATCACGCATTTCACATGTTTATTGAGTTCTACTCTGGGTGCAAGATTGCCACTTAATTTATTATTTATTATTATTATTATTATTAATTTATTATTATGATTACTTCACTTTCAACCCTCTCCCTACATGAAGACCAAGTTATGTCCGCTGGGTTTGGTAAGATGGCGTGCTCCATCGGTATTGTATGACAATCTCTACTCATTCCAAAAACAAATAGCGTTATGCGACTAGCTCAAATTCTGCTCTTGCCTTTTCGTAAAGTGGGCTTTAATTATTGAGCTCTCCATGAACGAAAGCACTAGTAAAACATGTCCCTGGTTCCCCACAATAGTTCATGAATCTCTTGCGAAATCACGAATCTATTGAAGAATTCTGCCCTTTTTATTATCATCACAACTTTCTACTTATGTTGTTTTTATCTATTGATCACGTTGCTGCAAATCCTGTTGTGCTAATATGGAATGGATCAGTTACCCAAATTTGAGGTTTGAATTGTGGCATTGGGAAAAATTTCGCGTGGCAAGTTAGAATAACAGGAGCATCCAAAAAAGCAAAGTAGCCGATACATGCAAAGTGTTGTTTGGAACTGACGAAAGTAATGCGCATGATTGAATCATGCGACGCTTTCGAACACGATGACACTCTCAACGAGATTCGTCGTTCAGTGGGGACACATATCAAACGAGTAACACAGCTGTTGAACATTTCGAAGGCTGGCAACTCAGAAGGATTCATTGAGCTGTCACACAAAAATAATTGGAAAAATAGAAGAAGAGAGAATCAACTAGCGATATTCAAATATTGAGAAATCGACGTGAATTACTTGAGCTGAAGGATTTTTTACAAAGCAAAGGTGCCCTAACAGTACAGCTATAAGCACAGAAATTATAACAACGAGCAAAAAAGTATGTACTGATAATGATTTACTTACTTACTTGGATACTTGGACGACCCGTCCTTTATTGGTTGTGCTGGCCCCAGCATAATCTCTATGTTTTTGGAGATTTGTTGCTTTAACCCTTGTGGTTCCCTAAAATTCCGAGGTCAGACTGGCCAAAATCTGACCCAAGTTACCACCACAGGTAGTCACAGCCCTTGTGGATCAGAGGGAGATTTGCCACTGTGCGACTAATTAGATACCAGGACAGTGGTGGATCCTGGAATTGCTTTACTCTTAGCCGGGCACCCTGATAGAGATGTCGGACTTTTTCTCGGCTTAGGAGGTTTTGCTGGGAATATGAATCCCCCGCTACACACCTCTCAGTCCGGCACCCAAGAACACCTCCTTGCCACGATGAGGACACGTTGGGAGGCTGACAGTGGTTTACAAGAATGAAAGGAATAACAGCAGTGTTGGATGACTAAAAAACAAGCGAAAAAAAACAAACTGTAGGTAACAAAAATGCGCGTTAAAAAATCTAAAAGTGGTATAAAAGCGATGAATTACGATAAAGCGATTAGGGATTAATTACATTACGATTGAGGAGTTAGACATCTAATCCATTGAGCCCACTCGTTCTCTCTCTCTCTGATGATAAACAGCACCTTGTAGTCTTGACAAGTTTGGTAGGTGGAACAAAAATGAGAAAGAAAAGGTCTGTTTGCTTAATCTCTATATCTCCGCTGCAAGGCGGTGAATAAAATGAATCACGCACCAGGTTTCACTATAGACCAGTCAAATCCAAAGCTCTTAAGTAAGCTGGGTGAGGTTAGTAACATGCGAAGGACATTCGGATCGAATAAATCGAACAGCCCAGCCCGATGAAAGTGGGACATCCAGTTTCAGAGAAAGGACAACGCCACTACAGGATTCTTCCGTTATCTGGAAACGATCGTTGTTGAGATAGCCTCGTTCGCAATGCCCGTAAAGCACATGTCATGCCCTTTGTACTGTGTGCGGCCCACAGCATTCATGAAGCGACAGCCAATAGTCTCGCGACTCAAATCAGTAGAAGTTTCGTTCATGAGCGGTTGTTGTAATTATTTAATACGGCATGCGGCGTGCGACATAAAACACGAAAAAAGCACAGATGCAGTGCCGGATAATATCAGCTTCCACTTCCTTAATCCTTAGAGCTGAAAGCCACAATTTATATATGCTTCCCGCAAACTATACGACTGCTTGCCTTCAGAGGGAAAAATGGAGGACGTCGCGCACGGTTATCCACCTCACGAAAAGTGACCGAAGAAATCTTCGTGACTATTGTCCGATATGCTGTTTAATGTATTTTGCAAGCTTTTCGCGAAGATTATCCTGGCGCGTATATCAATAACATCGGATTAGACTCAACCAGTGGAACCAAGCAAGTATGATTTCGAGAAGGATTTTGCTGCATGGATCACATCCAAGCTGTGTCCAGGGTTATCGAAACTTGTCGGGAATACCACCTGCCTCTAGTCCTAAGCTTTGTCGACTATGAAAAGGCGTTTGATAGTGTCGAAACCAATGCAGTCCTAGTAGCGTTCATCGACAAAGGAGTGGACCGTCCTATTTAAAAACTCTATTTAACTGTTACATGAAGTGCACTACCAAAATACAGATTTTTCATCTACATTTTGCTAAGTCTATAGGAAAAGGGTTTGATAAGACGAACCACATTTCCAAAGCTATTTACTGCTACACCGCAGGGGATAATGAAGTTACTTGATTGAGATGAGAAAGGAACACGTATTGATGGAAAATCCCTTCCTAACCTTTGTTCCGCTGAGGGCGTCACGATGTCAAGAAAGACCGAAGAAGCAGAGACGATGATCAGTGTGCTCAACAAAGCGAGAGAAGAGATCGGGCTACGTATAAATCTGAAGAAGACCCAGTTCATAGAAACCCATGATCTGAAGTCGAAAAAATTTAATTGGATGGCTCTCTGATTGCAGAGATCACTTCGTAAGCATAGTTTGGGCATCCAATAAACGTAGAGAACTGGAAAAAAATGGAAAAAGGAAATGGAAAAAGAACTAGACAGAAGATCGAGAGCAGTTTGGGCCGCATTTGGACATCTCAGAGAAGCCACCCATCAACTGAAGGACATGAAAAACCGCACCCACCTCTTCGATTCAACGGTTCTCCTAGCTCTTTATTATGCAGCCGAGATGTGGGCTGATAGTTTGATCACGTCAAGAATACTCCGCACTACACACAGACCACTTGAACGATGTCTCTTGAAATATAGCGGCATTCTCGATATCAAGCCGGAATGCGAAGCTCTGATCTTCGAAATCTGCCACATCTTTGAGATCCAGGAAAATATATGATGATAGCGAAGCGTAGATGAGCTGCTCACATAATGAGAAGAACAGACGGCAGATGAACGAAAAGAACTGTTGAGTGAACTCCACGAAGATGTAGACGTCCTGTGGGATGGCCACCCACAGGTTGGGCAGACGTGGTCGTAACCAAAGTCATTCACTTGTACTTGCAATTGGAGCTTCACCTGACTACTTCCTCTTGTGAAGAAGTCATAGAAGAGCTACTGATGACTCCATGGAGTGTTTGAACCTGCAGCCAACGACATTTGTAAAGAACGCAGAGTATTCAAGTGGCAGATACAGCCATACGCGAAAAGCTCGAGGACTTGTGTCGATGATAAATTCGGAACAACGAACTGAATGAAAAAATACTAGTATAAGCACGAGAGCGAGAGGTGATGAAGCATCACATATGCTCATAAGTAGAATTTCAAAAGGTGACTTTTCAAATGAACGTACAGTACGAAAAAGCATAAAGTCTGTATTGGAAACGATTCACATGAAGGTTAAGAACACTCTAAACGACCTTCATTTTTTGACAACACTCTAAAAAAAATTAGAAAGTAGCAGCCACCACACACAGTACACCAGAAAATATGTGCCGTAGTAATAAGCTGCCTCTAGTTACCTTAAGTCTTTTGAAGCACCAGGAAATTGAAGATTTAAGAGTCAGGCGATCTTAAGAATTTGTCGACGCCGAGACTACTGATCTTTGCAAATAGGTGCTTAGAAAGACTTATACCGAACCGCTGCTGGATCGTATTACATTCCATAAGGGAAACTGAATACTTTGCCGAACTACTAATTACGTGGTCCGACACCACAATATGCTGATCTCAGCACTCCCTGTACTCGGTTCGTTTAGTTGCATCCACTATGGCTTCGGCCACTGCTTGAGGATTTCTTCGTCTTCGTCAGGAATGTCGTTGAATGTTTATGGAGTCGATTCTCTTTAGGTTCCTGAGGTGACTGCAGTGGAGCGTTTCCAGGTGAATTGGTTGGATTGAGCTCCTTCAAGAAAAATAGTTGTCCGGTCTCACCATGGTTCCAGAATAATCGTGATATCAAAATGACTGCGTAGGAGTTTCTTGTTTACAAACGATGTCACCATTATGCGGTCGGGATATCCGTAGCCACACGAAACTTCTAGGTCAAGTAGATTTCAATTGAAGCGCAG